ACTAAAACACACAAAGCACACAGAAAGTGATCAAGTGTCTGATTACTCTCAAATATCACGGTGGACTCAAGGGAGACAAGGACATAAATCACAGGGGCAACAGCGAGCAGAGAAGCAGTGAGTGAGTGAGTTAGACAAAGACAGTGAGAGACAGTGGATCAATGCAGGAGAGCGAGGGAGCTGACTCATACTTGTCCCAGTGCCCAGCTGTCTCCAAAAGCTTGCGCGTTATTGACTTCCATGTGACTGGATGTGGTCATGTCATTAACAGTCACACTGTCAAAATTTCCACACAGGCCACTGAGAAGACCCTGGAAGAACAAAACGTGAAGGCAAGTCATCTTTTCGAAATCCTCCTCCTTATGTTTGTGAAATACTCCTGTTAATTTCTACAGTTATTGTTGCTCAAACCTTCCAACGAGGTCCAGCTCTGATGTGTACAGTTGTCTTGCGGTCCCAGAGGATGGTCAGGTCCTGATGTGAGAAGTGAACCACAGTGTAGTAGCCAGCTTTCCACAGTTCAAACTCTGACCCTCGACCCACAACAGTGGATGGGCTCTGATGCAGGAATGAAAAAGGATGTAGTCTGATGTTAGCTGAATTCACTGAATCTTAAATTCTCCATTACATTTCTGACTGATTTAATGAAGAATGTATAAGCATGGTTAATCATATTAACAATACAGAATCCGTACTGGATTGCCAGAGTTGTCAGTGAAGTAAATCTTGGTAAGTCCCACGTGAATGACCAGTATTTTAGTGCAGACAATGCCGCTTTCATAGCAGTCCTTGTTTTGGGCAACAATGGACACCTCGGTTTCACCAGCACTCTAGTGACAGAGGAAGATAAAAAAAATTCTTGATCTCCTCTAATCCCCGTCCAACAAACACAAGAGAATGCTTTTGTTATATTTTTCAAAGCAAAAGACATCAAGTAAATCAAATATTAATGTGACCCTGTAGTTAATGAAAGAATTCTCACCAGACACATTTGAACCGACAAGAGTCAGCAACACTAGCATAATTAAAAGACAACTTTGACCTGCGTTCCAATTCTTTTCAAGTCTGTACGATGGTCGGCAGTCTGTTTGGCCTAAACCACAATGTCTGTTCCGCTAATTCTAATTCTATATCCCTGGGAGCGCTGGAGCCCTGGGGTTTGATGTGAACACTGGTTTCTTTGTATCACTTTCAGCTTTGCTCAACATCAGCTAGCATTACTGTATCAACCTGAACTCACACACACAAACACACTTTAATCTGCTCTAATTAAAATCAACTCTCATCTAAGATTAGAAACAGCCATGGATCTAATTTCCCAGATTAAAATCTGTCTTGGACTGGAAATGTTGAGGATGCTCTTATTAGCTCCTATAGCACACAGTGTCTATCCCTTACATGCATTTGTGATTTCTTCTTTCAAAGGCTTTGGTACACATTAGTTAAAATGCCATAGTGAAGACTGTAGGCAGAAGTAAGCAACTAGGAGTAATTACATATTAAAAATAATTTCAGTTTACACCTGCTTGCAGACAGACAATACTCACTTTAAGGAGGTAGACTTGACAGTCAGAGTGATAGTCATACTCGAGGCCGTCAAAAGTGTGGTAGTGTCTGTCGCTGTAAATAGTGCATACAGCCGGACACGGGGAGTAGCTGCAGTTAAAGTAGCCACGGTGGCACACACTGAAAGAAAGGGCAAGTGCAGAGAGAAGTGTTGTTTCATGCTGGACATTTGCAGACTTGAATAACATGAATGAAATATTTGAATCGTTTGCTACTTTTGTGACTCAATGGCATGCATGACGTGATTCTTTTTTTTAAATTATTTTGGGGACAGAAATGACATTTACCATGTGTAGCAAGGTGTTTCCACAGTTTGCCCAGGAAGGTATTCAAGTCCAAGCCAGGCACAAGGGCAGTTCTCTGGATAGTAACACTGACCCTGGTGTAGCACCAGCCTTTATACAGAAACAAAAGCACAACATACACAACGTGCAAGCTGGTAAACCTAAGTCCTTCTCTGAGGTTTTGCCAATCAATTACAATTGATTACAAATTAAGAAAAGCTCAGAGGCAACCACAGTTTGATTAAAATTGGTTGCTTTGGAGCTTAAGTTTTATAAATTCAGGAGATCTAATTGAGGCCTAAATCTATTTTGCTTGAGGCAATCTACCAAATTACATAACACAAGACTAAAACAATTAAGTCACTCGGACTACTATTCATTCATATAAGAACACAGAATCAATGCCGTCAGTTATTGTTAGAAATAATTCTGCAGATGGTTTAGTCTCTTCGATTAATGAGTGATTCCAAACTTAATGCTCTCAGGAATGTTTTGTTAAAGAAGACACAGTTAGAAAAATGCTAGTTAGAAAACAAGACCAGAGAAGGAATATAAGGATATACTTCTACATACTGGATACATAAATATAAACCAAACTAATACTAATCAACGAGCAATTATGTTTTTTTCCCCCTCAAAAGTACCTGAATCATTAGAATTTGTTTTCTTAAGTTGTTTCATGGTATGTTTACTTACTTCATCAAATAATGACAAAGAAGATGAAAATAAAATGTGAAACTAAAATGTTTGCTTCTGATGTAACACCAATCTGTAACAGATAACTTCATAATATTACCCTGGAGGGCAGACACAGCCAGGTATGCACGGTGTATTTGGCGGGCAGGTGAGGTTCAACATCAGGTTACGGCAGGTCGGTGCACAGGCCACCCCTCCTCTCTGCTCAGTGCAGCTGTGGTATACTTTTCCCTCTGGACAGTCCCCAATCTCCTCACTATCTCCTTCTACAATAATCAAGCACACACGGACAAACACAAATTCAAAAAAGCAATTCATTGGTCGCTTTTAACACGCGCTGCAACAACCAGTCATGGGAAACAAGCTACAATTGCAGACATGAGACTCTTGATTTCAGCAAGAGCGATACAGCCTGAAACAGTACTTTGTTGTTGAAATGAACAAGTGCAGGAACTGAAGGGAGGGGAAGTGCAGAGAGGTTACCTTTTTCCTCTGGCTCACACTCCATCTTGCCATTTCTACACAGGCTGGTAGGAAAGACAGAAAAAAACAGAGAGAGGGGTGAGTGACTCTGAAAGAGAATAATGTTATCAAACACAAGGTTAATTTAAGTGCTCGACGTCTCACTTGACAACCCTTCAAGCTTTTTTGGGGCTTTTTTGAATGTATCACACAGTGTGTGCAGGTATTTCATACTGTGTGTGGGGCAGAGAAAGGCTTGAATTAATTTGAAATGTTAAAATCTAGTGAGCCAGCTGACTCACCAAGTGCCAGATGCACTGAAGGTCACCTCCCCTGGCTGTGACACACCACCCATAGAGTAACAGTGGCACTGTGACCTGAGGACAAACTCACTGCGTCATTTTGATGATTCCTCTGCGATATGCAGTAGGATTCTGTGTGCTTTAGACCAAAAGGCAACTAATTGCTACTATGAATATAAGTAACAAGATCTTACATTTGGACGCAGCGCTGCCGCACATCATCATAGTAACTGCCGTCTGGACAGCCACATCCTTCTGCACATTCATTATGGTCACATGTTTCAGTGCTGGACAGTACACGACAGGACCGGCCACAGGACGAGACACACGAGTGGTACAGCATACCTCCAAGACACACCACACCTACACAATCAATGCAAAAATTAATACCATCACACGCAGTAAACCACAATTAATGCGTCAAATTAAAGGCAGAAACTTACCACACTCAGAAATGTGCGATCTGAAGTTTATGTCAACTCCGTGTTTGGAGCAGAGGTAAGTGTAGTGAGCCAGTAAAGTGCACAGACAGCTGCTCCCGCAGCGGCAGGCCTGGTAGCGGCACTGCTGCTGGTACAAGTTTGGACTGATATAGCCATGACATGGAGCAAACAAAGACCCCAGGAGCTCCTCACACAGCGATGCATAGAACACTGGGACAGAAACACACATCCACAAAAACAAAAAAGACATTTGGAATCATGATTTCACCGAACAAAAATACCCTACGCTACAATTCTGAATTTGTAACAATCACAGTGCAACCCATAAATCAGTAACATAATCATGTATGGAGAAGTCTATGCAGAACTTTACATCAATATTAAAACCAATAACATGTACTCTGCACATGGTACTCTGTACTCTGGCATGGTAGTGTATTAAAAATGATTACCATTGTGTTGGTTCATCTCACATGGGTCTATGATGGGCAGATTAACTGGAGCAACACAAGCAGATGATACCTTCCAAGCATTGGCATGAAGCTGAGGAGTTCCCTCTATCATACCTGCTGGAGACCTGCGCACACAAGTACTGTCAGGAAAATATTTTTTCTTGGACTGACCTGTGAATGACAAACACTCCCTTACAGGAAGTCATCTCGTAGGTTTCCATTGTAGGTTCCACAAAGGCCCAGTGTCTGTCCATGCCACTGGCTGTCCAGCTGTACATAGACCCGCCCGCCACTACTATCATAATGCATCTTCAGACCAATCCCTGTCTTCAGCTGTGTAAACACAGAGGTCAGTCGCCGCACCTCGACTGCATCTAAAGGTCCACAGGAAGATGCATGTTTGATATGACTTTCATATTCAAAACTATGCCTTGAAAATGTGGAGGGTTTATCAAATTCAACATGTAATTCTTCATGTGATGGATATGGTGATCTCTACCATCCACATAGGGCAGAGCAGGCGCTGGGTTGACACCAACTATCACCTCCCCCTCTCTTGTCATGGTGATCTGACGACTTACATCTTCATCCAACACTACCGTCACTGACTGAACACAAACCTGTTGCTGTTAATAAACAAATATACAAAAGGGCCAGTTATAAATGAAATACATCTCCTTGCACAGATATGCTGAGGACACCCATGTGACTATATCTCCCGATAACCTTGGACCAAAATACTTTTTCTAGAATAAATTCTAGGTTATTTGTTAAAATATTTGATGTATAATCTAATTGTGTTCAGTGATCATGGAATTTCTTTTTCATTCAATTGTTAAGCAATTTGAAGGACTGCTTTGTTGTCCAGGTTATATGTAATTGGGTTTGTATTATTGACTAAATCACATGAGCAACATGATGTCTTTAGCAAACAGAGGCTAAACAAAATTCTGAAACACTGGAATACTTGGTGCAGAGGAAAACTGAATCTTTCATTAGAAACAGACAAATCACTAGAAGAAACTCCTTTGGTGTCTCTATTGATTCAATATAAAATCCCATTAATCTTTTCCACTCATGAAAAAGTCGTACGAATTAAGGTCCAAACTTTTTGTCATTTAGAATTTAAGTCACATTGCACAAGGGTCTGCGCACATCTGTCACACTGTATACTGTATCTGTCCTTGTGTGTGTGTGTGTGTGTGTGTGTGTGTGTATGTGTGCTACCTCTGCACAGGTAGTATACTGCAGCATAATTGTAAATCTGCTGCTACTGCGGCTTTTTGCCAGCACATACTGACACGTTCCTGGTTGGAGAAACATCCTGCCGTCAAACGTGGTGACAAACACATCGCCTACAACTGAACACTCGGCTAAGAAAGGACGGAGAGAGTCAAAAGTTTATCCTTCTGAATTTTCTGCCTCCACTTTGAGGTCTTGAGGATGTTTTTAATTTGGATTCTCACCTGTGCAGTTATTTTCCGTGCAGTTCCACACTCCTCCCATGCATACACTGAAAAAAATGAAATTTTGGACGTTAACAGCACCCCGGAAAAAACATTTTCTCATAAAAAAGTACAGGTTTACACTCACCAAACACTGCAACCCTGATGGAGAACCTGTCCTTGCACATATGCTGACCCATGGTATATACACGGACACTGGGAAACAGCAATGCACGTTCCATTCTGTAAAATAAGACCTGTGGGGTGGGAGGATTATCTTCAACATCGGTAAACCGGGCACATTCAGACAAAAGTGGTAAGTATTTCTTTATCTAAATACCATCAGGGCAGTAGCATCCATCCAGACAATGTAGATTTGTTCCTAGACACTCTTTCTCAAATGTACAAGTGGGTGGGCAGCAACTGATACAGTCTCTGTACACAAAACTGTCCTCACAGCCATCATCTGTTCTCATGCAAACACAAAGATGGGTTTGAACAGTTTCAAGGGTAGAGGTTTACACATTTAGAAAGAACTTAGCCGTCTTATATGAAATATTTTTTACAGACCATTAAGAGGCAACTTACAACATGATGGAAAACTGTCTCTCCACTCTCTAACAGGATATCCAACATGTGAGCAGGCTCGAGTATACTCTACCAATGCACGACAAAAGGTTTCCTCATCGTCAGATCTAAAACAAATAGGAAATGTTTTGGAGCACTTTCCTATTTCGAAGGTCTCTGAGAGAATGAAAGATCAAATAAGTCCAAATGTCAATGATCACATTTTAACTTACACACAAAGGTCTGAGACGCAGCTGGCAACAAAAGGATTGGGGTCAATGTTTTCATGACATGACAGAAATGGAAAGAATAGAAGGGCACTGCATTTCTCTATGGCATCCTGCACATGTTCAGAAAAGAAAACAAAATTTAAAACTAAGTAGCAGGTACTATTGAAATAATAAAACAAACACTGCAATTACATGTGAATAGACATTTTTAGTGCCCATGTCATTCTTTTGGGGATGAGCATTTTTTTTTTTTTAATTCCTTACATCCATGTCAGACTCAGATTGGCAGGGCCCATTAAAGTCTAGATCTACTGAGGGGCAAGCTCGCTCATGGGGGAGGTCCAAAGCCCAACTGTTACCAAATACTGCGGGCTCATCTGTCCGAATGCCTACAACAGAAAGTTTAAATATTTAAATATGTAAGTATGTAGGCAAACCAAGCAGATACACATAAGTAAAAAAAAAACAACATAAGAAAAACATTCATGATGAAGTGATTATTTTGCAAATGTTTCCTCAAATGAATCCTCACTCTACAGACAACAATAAGCAGGGGACCATAGTTCATGTTACCTGCCATCTGAGGAAAGATGCATGCTTCTTCGGCCATTCAAACCCAAACTGCCAGTTCTCCCCTACCCTTCCATCCCCATCTCCACAGTCCCACTACTACTATAATTGGCCAGAATCAGCGTTGAGTGTATAATCACAATAATTGCATTGAGTGGGTGCAGAGTGAAGGAATAAGAGGATGAGGGGCCAGTGGAGCCCGTCTTACCGCGAGCAGTGGTGAGATCATCACCAGCGACGTGGTTAAAGTTTCCGCACAGACCGCATGGCGCACCCTGGTGATCCTCGCTCATCTTCAGGTAGACACCTGAGCCTCCGTCCCAGGCCAGAGAGAAGCCGAACGCACTCTTCACGAGAAGGTAATCGGCCAGTCTCTCAATAAACACTCCGCCTACAGTCTGAGGCAAGCTCAGCCTGACAGATCCCAAACAGAAGAATCATTAGAGATGAAGTCACGTCTCTGAACATCATGCACAAAATATCGTCTTGTGGTTTAGAGATGTGACCACCTGCGGCCGCCCTGGTGGACCTGATATCCAGAGATGTGGATCTCTTCCTCATTTGGGAAGAACAGACTGAGAGCTCTCGGACAGGAATAAACACTCCCTTCACAGGCTCTACTGTTGTGAACCTGCGAAAAAATCATAGAAATGAATCAGAGGATGGGTTAGTAAGGCAAAAGAATTTAAATTAACCCAAGATTGTAATTCAAGCATGGTTATGAAATGCCCCCTGAGAACTGCTATCCTGAAAGTATGCAAATCCAAAAGATGCATGGAATTAGAAAAACCTAGTTACAGAAATGATAAAACGGCCTCTCTCCTCTAAAGTATTTTTTCCCTTACAGGAGGTAAAATATTACTCACCTTTTGTATTGACCTCTGCAGTGAGGGCTAAAACAGTGAGCTATTACATTAATATAAAGGTTGATTATTAGCCTTACCCATACTGTGTACTGTGGGGTAGCCGAGTGGCAGTCCTGGGCCAAAATATAAGAACAGGCCCCGGGGAAGTAAAAATAGATTCCATCAAACGTCTCGTAGTGGTGCTGACCCCACGACCTGCAGATGCCATCTCTATCCTGGCCCTGGTTTGGTACTGAAAGGAAAATGGCCAATTTATCTGGAGAATATTCTTGCAAAATGAAGTGGCTCAATTTCATGTGGCAGCACAAATACATTTAATCAGGCACTGACAGGGCAAGTCACATATTTGTCTCTGTTATCTTTATATCTTTCCACATCGTCTATTCTATTGAGGAAATCGCTCGAAAATTAATACCTGAATTTTCAAAAAGGCCTCTGTTACAGGAAATCCCCAAAGCTGGCATGTAAAGATGCTGCCAAAGACTATTACTAAAATCTGGCGTCGCGGGTGGCGTTTACAGTGAATCACATCTTGCCGAATAGCTTATCAAATTCACATTAATGTTCCAATTAACACAATTTTCTAGCCTCTTTGGAAATGCTAAACGAATCTGGGGCATCTGCAGATCTTTAGCATTACAACTGAAAAGCTTACTAATCTTTTGTTAAATGAAGCTTTGGTTATCGAATATTTAGTTGTAATTATTTCCAAGACGCATTTTGATCTTGCAAAAAGTTTCAACCCAGAGATTTAATTTCAAGTCTTTCTAGGGAACTTTATTGTTTATAACATGTGACTCAACACCAAATTAGCAAATTGACATAAATAAACAGTCTTTATTATAATTTTGATATAAAATTTTCGGATATTCTGTATCAAAACGCTGTTCATACAGAATATCAGAATTGAAAACTGGAACCTCCATCACTCATTCCCTTCCCTGTTACCTACCTTCAATTGCCTTAATATTTGCCTCTCAAGGGGACTCAAGTCTGTGTGTGTGTTTGTGTGTGTGTGGGTAGAATTTAGATAGAGGGCGGTGGAATTATATCAACAAAGAAAGATAAAGAGGGAAAGACTAATAATTATTTGATAATTAATGCTGGAGTGCGCTCGGATAATTAACATTTGATGAATGATTGTAGAGTCTCATACG